CCAGGAGCGGCTGCTGCACTCCAGTCTGGGCAGAGTGAGACTCCAACTCAAAAAAAAGAAAAAAAAAAAAAATTCCTGCAAGTTAACTGTTAAGGCTACTATTCATCCATTCATCTATTCGCTAGTTTGACAAATATTTACTGAGTGCCTGCTGTGTACCAGGTGCTCTCCTGTAGTAGTGAACAGGAGAGACAAGGTCTCCGGTCTCATGTATCTTCCTTTTTAGGAGGGAGTAGGCAGATAATAAACAAGTAAATAACTAAACAAAATAGTTTCAGGTAGTGATAAGTGTGTTGAAGACAATTCAGTGTGATATAAAGTGACAAGGTAGAGGAGGGCTGCTTTGTCTCCAGGGGGTCAGGGAGGGCCTTTCTAAGAAAAGGCATTTGAACCCCCACACTGAGGATGGGAAGGAGCTAACCATGCAAAGATCTGTGGGAAGAGCAATCCAGAAGAGGGGCCTGTGGAAGCAAAGGCCTTGAAGTAGGAATAAACTCATCAAAAAAAAAGAATAGAACACCAGGCTGGTGAGGTGGGCAGGGGCCAGATTGGGGTGTGGCGGGGGTGGGTGGCTACGGTTCATGGGGAAAAGGAGTTTTAGTCTTAAGTGCAGTTCACTACTAGAGAGTTGAGGCTGAGAACTGACTTATGACTTTTAAAATGTCATGTGAGGGACTGGATTGTGGGTGGGTAATAGTGGATGAACTCTGTGTTCTAATGGTTCCAGAGTATTTCTCTCATTTTTATTTTTTTATTTTTTTATTTTTTTGAGTTGGAGTCTCACTCTGTCACCCAGACTGGAGTGCAGTAGTATGATCCCAGCCACCGCAGCCTCGACCTGCTGGGCTCCAGCAATCCTCTCACCTCAGTCTTCCAAGTAGCTGGAACTACAGGCGCGCGCTAGCATGCCTGGCTAACTTTTGATTTATTGTAGAGACGAGGTCTCGCCAAGTTGCCCGAGTGGGTCTCAAACCCATGGGCTCAGGCAATCCACTCGTCTCAGCCTCCCAGAGTGCTGGGATTGTAGGCTGAGCCACCGAGCCTGGCCTATTTCTCTCATTTTAAAAATATTTCTGATACTTTTTTCTAATATTCCCGACGTAACAATATTAGCACCCTTGTTTCTTCCTCATTGGTTTGGTAAAATTTCAAACTTATACACACTGATATTTAGAGAAGACCATATACTTGGTTTTATAAAGCCTGTCTGAACCCAAAAGAAAACTTAGAAGAGTTTAGTCATTTTGTTGTTTTGTTATTTTTTTCCTTTGACATAAAAATATATTTTAAAAGAAGTTGTTTGGTTTTAGTTTGATTTTATTTTTGTAAATGTGGTTTATGTTTCTTTCATTTAAGGGTGTAGTTTTTCTTCTGGATTTGACCTAAAAATGCCAAGAAGTGCAGAAGAAAAAAAAAAAAAAACAGTACAGAAGAAAATAATTCTTGTTTTAAAAAATATATTATTATTTTCCTCTACATAAGGGTCTGCCACTGGTATAGCTATTTTAATATAAAGTGGGAAAAACACATGTAGCTCTATGAAATAATTACCACCTCCGTTTCTAACCATTCTGAAAGCTCTTCAGCAGCTAACAAATAGGTTTCTTTTGATCAAGCACTTTACTAGCCTGTTAGCCTTTTAGAAATGTTATGTTAGATTTTTGGTACAGATTCTGGTGTGTTTTCATATTGCGTGTTTTGCACCAACACACAAGGATCTTAGGACATGATTGCCCTCCTAAGTAAAGCGTTTGTGTGGTTATTTAACTTCAGGTTGCTAGTGCAGTTTGCTCTTCACTTCAAGAATAAGCTTAAACTCTTATTCTTGGAGGTATCTTGAAAATGTCTGGTGGTGTCTTCCAGCCAGTTTTCTGGTTATGCTGTTTGGGTTACGAATATATTAGGAATGCACTTGTCATGTTCTTTTTAACTTTGGCTTTATTTTAAGACTTTACATATTTCTGAGAACCCTAGCCATTTCAGATATCATTTGAAAGCACCATTTCATTCATATGCAACTTATAACAAAAAATAGAGAAACAAGCCATACATTTGGAATTTACATCCTCTAGAAACGGTTTACTTTAAAATAAGTCTGTTTTTCCAACAGAAACAGATTAGTTTATCAGAATGCCAAAGAAGCGTTTGCAGTGACTGTTTTAACTCATTAATATCTTACATACGAAGTTTTTTGGCTAGGTTCAACTGGTTCAAGAGGAGAAATAATATACTGGTTCACAGATAAGAAAATGACAGATTTTAGCTATGGGTGGTGGGGGGAGCAAAGGAAACAGTGGCTGGTTTTTTTATTTTAAAGAATTTAGAATACTTTGAAATTTGGACTGTGCAAACAGTAAGAGTTCTATAGAGAATGAAACGAGGTAATATTTACTTTTAAGGACTTTATCTAGACTATAAGGTATGTTGAAGTGAGGAATTTTGTTTCTTCTTTTTTTTTTTTTTTGAGTTGAAGTCTTACTCTGTTACCCAGGCTGGAGTGCAGTGGTACGCTGACAGCTACCACATCCTCAACTTGCTGGGCTCAGGTGATCCTTCCCCGTCAGCATTCCAAGTAGTTGGAACTACAGGTGTGGGCTACTACACCTGACTAATTTTTAAATTTATTGTTGAGATGAGGTCTCGCCAAGTTGTCCAGGCTGGTCTTGAACCTGTGGGCTCGGGTAATCCTCTCACCTCTGCCTCTCAAAGTGCTTGGATTAGAGGTGTGAGCCACTGTGCCTGGCCATCTATTTTGTTTCTATACTGACATCTTGGATGGAATTCCCCTCCCACCAAAAAACCAAGATCATTCTATAATATACCTATAATGCAATGATCAAAATCAGGAAGGTAGGTAACACTGACACATTATTTTGTTAGCTAATCTGTATGCCTTACTCAGATTTTGTCAGTTGTTCCAATCATGTTTATAGGAAAAGAAAATTTTGTTGCATTCAGTTTTCATGTCTCGGTAGCCTCCTTTGTTTGGATGGTACCTTAGTCTATGTTTTATATCCTTTCAGTTTTGAGGAGAACTGGCCAGTTATTTATTTATGTATATATTTATTTAATGAGCCAGAGTCTCTCTTTGCCACCTAGGCTGGAGTGCAGTGGCAAGATCACAGCTCATGGCAGCCTTGACCTCCTGGGCTCAGGTGATCCTTCCACCACCAGCATCCCAAGTAGCTGGGACTACAGGCATGGGTCACCATGCCCATCTAATTTAATAAAAATTTGTTTTTTTGTGGAGATGTGGTTTTGTTATGTTGCCCAGGCTGGTTTTGAGCTCCTGGGTTCAAGCAATTCACCTGCCTCAGTCTCCCTTGGGATTACAGGTGTGAGCCACCTCACCAGGCCTGGCCAGTTATTTTATAGAATGTCTGAAAGTTTGAGCTTCTTTTATGTTTCATCATGATTGAATTCCACTTAAATATTTTGGGCAGAAATCACCCAGAAGTGATGCTGTGTTCTCTGTATATAATATCAGGAGCCATATGATGTCTATTTGTCTCATTACAAAAATGCTGGGGTTTTTTTGTAATTGATATTTTATGAGGAGATATTTGAGACCATGCAAATACTTTTTTACTCCTCAAACTTTTACATACTTTTTATGATTCTTGTCTGAATTAATTATTACTGTGATGGCTGCAAATAGTGAATTTTTTTTTGTTTTTTGAGTAGGAGTGTCACTCTGTTACAGGCTGAAGTGCAGTGGCATACTCACAGCCACTGTAGCCTTGGCCCACTGGGCTCAGGTGATTGTTCCACCTCAGCCTTCCAAGTAGCTGAACTACAGGTGCATATCACCATGCCCAGCTAATTTTTAATTTATTGTAGAGACAAGATCTTGCCAAATAGCCCGCCCAGGCTGGTCTTGAACCCCTGGACTCAGGCAGTCCTCTTGCCTCGGCCTCCCAAAGTGCTGCGATTACAGGTGTGAGCCACCGTGCCCTGCCCAAATGGTTACTTGAAAAAAAAAAAAAATCCCATCTTTTTTTTTTTTTTTAACCGATTAGTTGGATCTACTTTAAGGATGAACTTTCCTTTTGTGTTCATTCCTTCCTTTCTTCATTTATATCAGTATAGACTGAAGACTGATGGATTCTTATTTTGTTCACTGAGTTTTAGATGGCATTTTACTTGTATTGATACTGTTGAAGCTTTTGAAAATCCAGTAAGTTGTTTCCCCAGATTCCGTTGAGCAGTTGAAACTTTCTGCTTAGTAGATTTTTTTCCTCCGGGATCTTGTTCTCGGTGGAATAGATATGAATAGGACCTTTCCCAGTCCCTCATGACTGGTAAGAATTTAATGTTTTAGGAGCATACTACATGGGAAGTATTTTCCTGTACATTGAAGAGTTAAATGTGAAATCTTGCAGTCTGGTGCACAGGCAGGTTGGTGGCAATGCAGGGATAGTCCCCTGTCCCTGCGCTGCCTCTCTGAACATTTGTGATATCAATAGCGGCGCACTTATAAATGTGCAGGGGCATACAGATTTTTCTCGTTATCATGCTCAACTTGCTCTTGGACTCGGAGACGTGCGCTGGTAATGATCTTTCGGCTCTCGCTTTCCTGCCGCCAGCTTCTTTTTAATCAGGCTTTAAATTTCTCCTCAACTTAGATTTCATGGGCAATATGGTTCCATGTTTATTTTCTCTTCGGCGTGGGTAGCCATGGGCTTTGAGCGGTGAGATGCGACGGCATCGGGCGGTCTGCGTTGAAGCACAGGGCTGGCCGGTGCGTGTCGCCGGCCTGTCTGCGCGCCGCCGGGCGCCGGTGAGGTCCTCCTTCCAGCAGAGGGTTCCCGCCGGGCGCGCCGGGCCCCGAAGGGTTAAGGAGCGCTTCCTGCCGGCCGGGCTGCGCGGCGCC